ATAGCTCCTCAAATGAACAGAATAATTGATATTAAATAGGTTGGTACAATAAGCTCAGAAGGAACCGATTTTTTCCGTGTATTTTTAGGAATATTCATCGCTTAACATTCGTCGACATCGCCGACAACAGCGTCGACAACGCGTCGGGCAACGTCGAGCACAGCGACAACAGGGGTACGGCAGTATCCGGGATGTTCCCACGGCCCCTTGCCCGTTGCTCTCATCGGGATTCGAACTCACGGCGTGCCCTCAGCCAAACGCAAGTGCGAAGTGCAAATGCAAAATAGACCTGACACTCCTGGTCAACCGTACGGAAAGTCACCTATCGGGTCATATGGCATGCTTCGCTTTGTAAAACTGAGCGTCCGAGGGTTTTTCATATTATAAAAGCAGACCGCGTGACCGATTGTCACGACCATGACGCAATCGTGACAGATTTACTTCCTGACCCACTGATGGTCGCCGTGAAAGGACATAGTGTCCTTTTTCCTGCCGTCCGGAAAAAGGACACCTGCTTTGCCCGCCGTGACAGTTCAAACGTTCATTGCCGAATACAGGAATCCTGATATTTTTGTTCGATACCGTCCGTCATAGCGAGAACCTTGATTATACTTCTTGTCCGTAAAGCTGCTCATACTTTGAATGCTGTGATACTTATATAATCTCTCGATCTGTGCGACTAGTACGACTAGTAATGCCTGGCTGCTGGCAGATAAACTCACTGACAAGCCAGAAGGTGTTACACCTCGGGCTGCCACAGTAACATGGTAAGTCGGATTGTCCGACGTGGCAAGGCGAACCCCAGCACTTTGAGAGGAGAATAATAACAATGCAAGTCCGAAAGTACCTCCAATACGCTCTTTCTTTCAGAGACTCTAAATTTTGTATACACAGATTTCAGGTCTATGCCATCTACTTCGTGTATCGCGAGCGGTCACGCTTCAAGCCATTACATGCAGGTACAACGTTCGGCACGATGGCCATCTCCAGGGTGTTGAACCCAGGAGAAGGCGACATAAGGATCCGTTCAGGAATAAGCTTCGATAGACCGCTCGAGAGTCACGTCCAACGAGTCCAATCCCTGGTTTGCCCGGGTCTTGTCACAAGGAATCGCCTCGATGATGTCGATAGCAAATGTCTAAACCGCGATGTAAGTACTAGTGTCTTTGTCTCTGAGTTGTGCTTGGGACATACATCAACGCCTTTTTCAATAGCGACCAGGGCCAGTCGGATCGGAGTCGCGAATCCAATAGGTGACAAGACACCGTGTTTTCCGATAATCTGCGACACGACTAAGCCACCGCACTTGACAGACGAAGTCTATACACTTACCACGCTCAACAAAGCTTGATGAACACGCACGAACTAGGAGATCATGTCAACGCCATCAACATCCGTCAATCGAAGGTAAAGACTGACATCCAGTAAAGCGGTAACAATCGCTTCACATGCTTCGTGGGTGATCGCACGCTTCATCTGCGCCCGTCCCGTGATGACGTCGCGGGAGCTTGAGCCCTAAGTATCCATAACATCAACGACTGGAGACAACAAGGCGTATGGGCAAGATACGAACCGAACTTGCATGCGTGTCGGCAACAGCCCTAGTGACTGTAGCTACAATGTTCTGCAGCCCGTTTACAATCCGCTGCAAACGCCATAAAATATTAGACAATACAAGGTCGGAAATGGTCAGATGCAGCTCACCGGGGCGGCCGCAGTGGCGTTCAGGAAAGTGGTGGCCTGCACCGTCACCCTAAGCTCGGCTGAGAGCTGGGTGACGCGGTTCAGGTCAGAGATGATTGCCTCCGAGTTCTGCGCGAAGACACCGGACAGGGTGCCGAGGGCGCAGAGGCCGGCAGGCATGAGCGCGAAGAATTTCATGGCGAGAGGAGGATGCTGGGTTGTGGCTCTGATCTCGCTGGAAAGCTCCGATGTCGAGACGTCCCCAGTACATGCTGCTTATAAACACCTTGGCTGCTGTAGGTGGTTAGCCAGGGCACTTGCCTAGAGAGGGTTCTAGCGGATGTGGAAGCGGCCAAGTGCGGTCCGTTAACGATTCACGATATCGCGACGACGGTGGCAGGCTACGGCAGCCATGTCGTAGTTTCCCGACTGCAATGCGCGAATCACCTAAGTCACCATACAAACGAGCCGACGTACGTATATCACGAAAGCTTGCTGCTGTGGCCTCTCAATCTCTGCCCCACGGTAGTACAACTTGAAGGCTATGGCACCTTCTTGGGTGGCGTACTTTCGCGGATCTCACCCACCGTAAGGTCAATATTGAAGGCGAAGCAACGCAAAACCGCACGATACAGCCGGTGTAGCATTCGATAAAATGGTTCCTTTGTGCGCGGAAAGCATCCAGTGGCCAAGCAGTCGCTGACGGCCTGATACTGGCGCGAGGTCTCTGTTATACACATATTCTAGCATTGTATTTGATACACTATTCTGCGGGTAGTGATAATGCAATGCGTATTAGCATCCTGCTACCTCCGCCAGAGGGAAGCAGGTACGTACTAAGACGGCCCTTCTATGATTCCTTTGGAGGAGTGATTTTCCATACTTTAACAATTCCATCATCTCCAGCCGTCGACAGGATATTACGCAAACCTTGGCGTGGACACCATGATACGCTATTCACATCGTGCACACCGTGGGCGGAGGTGACTCGTGCTAATAGATGATGCGACGGAGGCGGGCGTGTACCAGAGGTTTCGGAGGTTGTCGGCGGAGCCTGAAGAAAGAGAGAAATGAGTCAGACAGCAAACAAATTCTATCCTGCTTACGTGGAACTCGAAGACGTTTATCTTGCCATCTCCACCTGTGCTGGCCAGCCATCCTAAGCTGTCCTCACCTTTTCTTCCTTCCCCGGTTCCCCAAGCAATAGAATATATACTGCGCTCGTGGACACCCTCGATGACCTCTACACACTCCCACTTGTACTGCTCGACCCGTTCCCAGATGCGGATCGTGAGGTCGTCCGAGCAAGATGCTAGGTATCTACCGTTGGGGGAGAAGGCGAGGGACCAAACTGTCGAGGCATGCCCTGTTAGGGTGGCGAAGCAGAACCAGTCCTCCGATGGGTCGTCTATGTACAATTTGATTGTATCATCATAGGACGCTGAAGCCAGGATCTGTTTCATTCATTATTTCCTCGCAACGAGCTTGAAAGATGGAGGAGAAATGGATTGACCTCTTCTGTGGGGTGCCATGCGACCTGCTTGACATCTTGCGAGTGCTCCATCATCACGCCCATGCACTCGAAATCCGAGTCGGGGTGGACTGCCAATCAAAGCAACACTGCTCAGTAAGTAGAGAAATAGCCGTTAACACGAGAGCACTCTTCTGGCGTACGTACCTTCCCATACCCAGACCGTCTTATCTCTACTACAACTGGCGAGAAGATTGCCCGATGAGGAGTATGCGACGCTTTTACATTCCGTCTCATGGCCTTCGAGGAGACTCATGCACTCCCACTCGCCGGAGTGCACTGTATGGCTCGGATTACCATCTTCGTCCTCCTCTTCCTCGGCACCCTCCCTCTCCCAGATACCGATGTTGGCGTCGAACGAGGCTGTCGCGAGTGTACGCCCAGACGGGGACCATGCGATAGCGCGCACTGTCTTGGTATGCCCCGTCTGGATCGTATTGACGTGCTTAAATGATATAGATCCGGGGTCCGGTTCATCATCGTTTCGTCCGTAGTGGTAGAGCCGGACGGTTTTATCTGCTGAACAAGAGGCCAGAATTGGCTTCGTCGGATTCCAGGCTGTATGCCATGCCCTATCATCGTGACCTGATAGCGAATGAGTCGTTGAGCACAGTGAGCAAATACTGTTTTGTACCTTGCAGTTCTGCTACGCATTCGACATTCGCTGGTAAATCCACGTCCATCGCAGCGAATATGGATATCGGACAAAAGCTGAGGTGATTCAGGTGAAGTCATACCGGCAAGGCCCGAAAACATAACTATCGCATCAGGCTGACATCGTGGAAACGTCGCATTCACATTGCTCGCGGTACATGTACAGGGGTTAATTATAGGGTTCGCCTCTGGCTATACTTGTCCCACTACGTCTTATAGTGGAACCTGTCCGAACTGCTCCCTTACCAACGTTTACGTTCTTTCGGCGATGAAGAGGAAGAGCGATGCTGTCTGTACCGCTTATCGCTGCGCTGCACGTCGTCTGGGATAAACTCGTCACGCACGGCGAGGCTTCCAACGATCCTGAGAAGAGGCCGCAGCTAGAAGAGAAGGGCAGGCGGGGCACTGAAGAGGGTGACGATGCAGACGGAAATTGCGGAGAAAACACGCTCGAGGGGGACAGTCAGAACACGGAACGCACAGGAACGTTCGTAAGTTTAGCGTCGTCTTCGAAGACTCCTGCATCCTGGTGGTCGAAGTTCAAAGCGATATTGTTCCCGCCGTACGACCTTGGTTCACCGTCCAATATCGACCAGTATGTGCCAAACTATCGATCGACACCTATTCTTGCAGGAATTGTGATCCCGTTCTCGATCCTCCTCGAAATCCCTGGTTTAACAGACTACTGGTACATCCGGACCATGAACCATCATACCGTCGATTACCGCTCGAACCCTTCTATACTGGTAGCCGGTCTGTGTATCTCCATGGCTAGTGGCATTATTGCAAACCTGTGCTTGATCATGCGGTTTCTGGAGAAACGCGTCAAGTCGATGACAATTCTATGCGTTGTATTCTTGACTATACACGGTAAGATCAGAGGTGCGGTACATGATCTATTCCTGACATCTCCATAGATGTCATCAATATAGTCGCGGTCACAATATTCGGGGTGGCGCATCGCTACGACGACGGTTTCACATACGGACAGGCCTTCTGGATGACCGTGTGCTCGACTATAGCATCTGTCGTAACGAACGTCACTCTGATTGCGGATGTCGTTCGTACGAAGGATTTTGCAAAGAGCGGTGCGCAACTAGCTAATCCAACCCAAGGCTGTAATCGAATAAACTTTGTTTCACCAGGTAGCGGTCTGACCGCCAAGCAACGAGCCCTGGTACTCATTGTAATGATACTCTTGCTACAGATCGCTCTGGGTTCCGCCGTCAACTCCAAGCTCAACCACTTGACGTTCTTGGATGGTTTGTATTTCACTGTCTGCTCCCTCGAGACCATCGGCTTTGGAGACATTACGCCGATTTCCACCGGCGCTCGCGTATGGATCTGTGCATACTCAACCGTTGGGATCATCAACCTTGGTGTTGCCGTTGGAATGGCGCGGTGAGCCTCCTTCAGTGCATGATTAATGCAGACTTACGGCGCGTCCTTAAAGGGAGACAGTCATTGAAGGCTTGGAAGTAAGCTATCGGAAACGCGCCTCCCAACTCCGGGCCTTCCGCCGCTCAGAGCGTGAAAAACGCAAAGCCATCGTCCGCTGGAAAGCCTCAGTCGAGCAGAAACTTGAAGGCCTCGGTATACCAGCCTGGATCCCCGACAAGGACGATGCGACCCGCCAAGAAACGGATGAAACCGGCCTGCGGACCAAAGTCTTCCTCGTCAAAGCCCTCGGCGGGATGGGCTGGACGCACCGGTTCCTCGACCTGCTGCACGTCCACGCCCACCATCAGCCCGGGTACGACGCGATGCACTCCTACGCGCGCCCTGGCTACCGGCTGAACATCGAGGCACTGACGCCAGCGCACCTCGAGGCCTGCGCGCTCGAGGCTGGGGTTCCCCTGGACATGGTGCTCCCCGAGTCTCATCGTGCCCGCCGGATGCACGCGGACTTCCTGTCTAGCTGGTACTCGGGGTGGCATCCGCCGCCGTTTCTCCCGAGCTTCGGGGCGCGGAGGTTGCTGGGGAGCGTCCAGGGTCGCCGCCGGGGGAAGCACGGAGCGCGAGGAGGGAGCGAAAGCCAGCAGCCCGACCACGCTGATCTGAGCAGCATTAAGGATCGGCGCCCGCACGACCGCACGCACGTGCAGATTGGCCAGATGGCGGAGATGATGACGCGCTTTGCGGTGGGCGTCTTGGGCGCACACTTTTTCAACCAAGGTCAGTCGAACGAGAGTCCCATCGAAGAGGCGAGAGAGGCAGAGAGCGAGAGGGCGTCCCTGGACATTGGCGGAGACGATAGGGGCCGGAGTCCTGAGCCGGGGGAGGCTAGCGAGGGTGGGCGCCTCCATCAGACTCATAATGGCGAGGATCGAGTGAAGAACGCGAAGGATAGAGTTGCGCGAACTGTCAAGATGAAAGATTGGAGAGCGTTGGAGGAGAACTCAATCTATGGGACTTACGATAGCTTTAAAGCGACGTTGGAGAGCGAGGAAAAGAAGGCGTTTATCACTAAGGTACCTAATTCCATATCTTCGGTCATATCGGCTCTGACCGTGTAACTGGCAGTTGACTATAGTGTGGTCTATATTCTTTATCTTCTGGATGGTGCGTACGCTCACATTAGGCGACGCCTTCTACTGACGTGCTTTGTTTAGGTAGGTTCCGCGATATTCTCGAGGACTGAACGGTGGCCCTTCGGAACTGCTATGTATTTCTGTGCGTATCAAAGTAGCCCTGCCGTGCACCCTGCATTGACGCCGAAGCCGTTCTCAATAGGTTTCATAGCCTTCACTACCATTGGATATGGTGACTACTCACCTCGGTCACCGGCTGGACGGGCAATCTTCGTCGTCTGGGCGCTACTCGGTGTTGCTACTATGACCATCTTAATATCTGGTACAACGCTCCCTCTGCTTGCAGCCCTAAACATAGCTGACCCTTGATACCCCTAGTCATCTCTGACGCTTATGGGTCACGATATAAGAGCGCCATGCATACACCTATATTCAACAAAGTCGTCAAGCGATATCGAGAACGAGCCCGACATGAGCCAGGACCGCCGCAGCCGGCGCTAAGGCCTGTAACACCCTCGGGACAACCTATGCGCCCTCGATCCGAAACACTGGAAGAGTCTCGCGCGCGTGCTCAACGACAACTGGAGGAGTTGCCTCATAAAATCCTCCAAGATACCCGAACGTTTCATGAGAATATACAGTACTTTCTTAATACCACGGCTCGGGATATGATTGCTGGCGACTCGGCGGCTGGTGGCGCTGGTGCCGGGAGCGCTGAGTTGCAGCCTCCAGAAGGTCTGAAGAAGTTGCTCGATGATATTGCGGCTGCAGAAGGCATAGGGGATGGCGTCAAGAGCCAGATTCTTCAAGATGAGGATGCAAGAAATGTGAGCCATTGTTCATGCCTGTGCGGATAGTGACGCCTACTGATCCATGTCTCGTCTCCTCAAGACCCTTTTCATGCTGAGCGTCGAGAGTAAGCGTATCCCAATCGCACCTTGCATCGTATTAAAACTCTGCTTCGCCCAGAATCTCTACGGAAAATGATCGGTGCCGCAGAAGGGGCTTTACAAGCGTTAGCCGAAAGGGATCTTCTTGCTGCGGATCAGAATCGTATGGACGAGACGGACCCTCCTTCAAGCCACAGTGAAGTTCAAGAGCTGCCTCGCTAATACATACACGTATAGAAGCAAGCGCGATATATTCACGGTTATAATGAAAGTTATGGTAATCTGTATCTTGAAAGGCTATTCAATCACGGAAGTCCGGTACCATCTCTTGTTCTTGGAGCTTCAACCTTCAGCTGTTATAGTGCAAGTTCGGCTATATACGTCGAACTTACGAGGAACACCGCACGATGCTTGTTCTTTAGTTCGACACGTCCTATAAAAATCCGTTCTCATTGGCTGGAGTGGTATCCATGAGAGATGTTCTAGTGATCGGATCGGTGCAGACGTCCGTCTCGCAGTTCTCCTACCATTTGCGCTAACTCACGCGGAACTACATGTCTATCTGTCACCACCGGAGCCTCAGGACATACGATCCTCAAGATGACGTGGCAATGGCTTCCTTCGATTTACCCTGCAGACACATGGCGGCGCTGTCATACTTTCCATCTGTACGGCGCAGACCACTTCAAAGATCTGGACCTGCGAATCAAGTGGTAACGGACATTCGATACGGTGATAGGCTCACCGTTCATGACTATTGCCGGGACAGCCTGCAGGCTACTTCGTTATTGATGCTACTTAGTTCACCACACGCCAGGCGTATCGGATACGATGAGACTTGGCATCCCTGCGGAACGTGTTTGGTGACCGCTGGTTGGAGTTCTCGAATATAACCGCAACATAGTTATGAAAACGTTGACTTTCAGATGTAAGAAAGGGCCCCGCAATACATCTCTCTCAACCCGCTGCGTATAGATCACCTCAAAATTATCATGGGGTCGCTTGTCTGTGGCTAAATCAACGTCCTGAATATTAACGGGCAGCGTACCTGACGAGAAGTCGTGCGTGGATATGCTCGACGGTGGACGTGGGTACCAGCACCTCGACTACTCAGCAATGGTATAAAAGACACCGCTGACGTCCTCTGGAAACCCATCCCGGTTCTACTCACCGAGTCTCAGCAACCAGCTACCTCACCATTTTCAATCTTTCTCGCATCACGACATCATGAGGTTCTTCACTTTCGTTCCCATCGCCCTCGCTGGCCTCTCGGCCTTGTCTGGCGTTTTTGCTCAGAACCCTCAAGCAGTCATCACTAACGTCAAAGCGGTTACGAAAATATCCGCTGACCTCCGCGTCGTTGTGGCCCGCACCACTGTCACCAACGTCTTTAGTCAAGCTCCGGTGAGTTTATGTATCAAGCGGTAATATTTGCATAGTTCACTCAGCATTTTCGAGCGTTCAGACGATCGTCACCACCTTGCAGAAAATCGTGTCCACTGTGACGTCGGCAGTATCTAGTATCTCCGTGGTGCGTCTGAGAGCTATAGATCGCCACCCTCTGGCGATCTGACCATGCATCTGTAGTCCGACCCCAAACCTTTCACTGAAGAGGTCTCAACTGAGGTAGTCGAGGTCCTGACTGAGGTCGGTCACTCTCTTCCTACATCGTCTTCTCTTCGCAATTTACTCCACAACCGCTATAGTTCGTAAAGGTACACCAGGCGCTCCTCCAAACGGTACGTACAGTCCGCCTCTCCTTCCGTAGCCGAGACTTACAATTAATATAGATCATTGGCAAACACGGTCTTCTGGCTCGGTTCGCCTTCGCTACACCTGTTCGCCTTGCCTTGGTGGCTATCGAGAAAGTCGTGGATGTAAGCACTATTGCTTTCTGTGGTAATCACGAGTTTGACTGGACCTCTGTGCAGAGCTTCGCCTTCGCGATAATCAACTTGATTCCTACTGGCAGCAAGAAGTCGGAGGCCCAACGGCAAATTGCTTCCCTGGATGTGACACTCAAGGCTTCCATCAAGACCTACTCCTAGACTTGTCTTTCCACGGGCATGTTAGAAGGTTCAACACCTCTGCTCCCATGTTCTAAAGCTTGGTGGTTCATCTCCATCGTGACGCGCTAGCAATGCACGTATCAGTATACATATATATATATCTGTGAATGAATCCTCTGAGAACCGTGCCCGTCCACACAACGAAAATAGTTCGAACCGCAGATTTGGTAGAAGGCTTTGCAAGAATACGAAGCGATCTTTGATTATCCTCAACTGACACCAAGGCAGCTACACTAATGGGGGCTCTTGTTGAAGGAGAAGATCGCTCTGGCGATCCTTCCTCACTTGACGGAGAAACATGTAGAATTCGAGGCCATCTCGAAGCCCGTCATCCGCATTATTGTGAGCGAGAGCGGGGAAGAGGCTCTCCAAGAATGCCATCCCCTCCACCAAATCAACCACTCCGACAGTCTCCGTCCGGAGAGATTGCAGACCATGGGGACATATCTCTTCATAGGTATCCAAAGGTGGTAGTTCGATCATGTTGATATGGCCGACACGGACATGCTGGAGGCAGGGGCATTCTCGCGCTAAGACCACCAAGCTGCGAGGATTGATCCGACAGGAAATCAGCAGCTTTTCGAGTCTAGGCCATGCATTGGCTAGATGGCTAATATCATTGTCCATCTCTGAAGATGGGATTAAGAAGCGGAAGTCGAATTCTGTCATTTCATGACATTCAAGAAGGGGACATAAGAATTCCAGGTCGTGGGCAAATGCGAATATGTTTACGATTCGAACCACTTTGAGCGTCTGGTGGAATGGCGACAGGGTGGAGAATGTAGCCCTCAAGCCTTCCGGGGACATGCCAATCCGCTCTTCTGACCCGGATTCCAATGAGAACTGGGATAAAGCCGTGGTAGAAAGGTGTTGAAGGACGGCTATAACGGATGGCAGAGAGCTATAGATGAAAGTGATCTTCTCAAGCTGCGGGAATGACGGCCAGGCAGACAGGTCGCCTGCAGGTAGAGTTCTCACACACAACGAGATGGACTTGATCTGGGTAAGGAGACATAGCCCGGAGAAAACTTCCTCGTCGATCGGATCCCGCAAACATAAGTGTTCCAGGAGGATGAGCTGCACAAGTCCCTGGAGGGATCGACCGAACGTTTCTTGATTGCTCAGCTCTATGCTTCGTATCCCCAGAGCGACCTCAGGTAAGATCGATATGACATACTCCAGGGCTCGCAGGTCGCGGTTGCGCTCGAAATATCCTAGCCCGATTGAACGGCCAATCGATAAACGCTTGAGTGAAGGAGTTATAAAGTTGGCCAAAGCGGATGTTGAACCATAATTCTCCCATGCCAGCTCCTCGAGGTTCGGCAACATGGGAAGTCCCTGGGGACGCACACGCGCCAGGGTGTCGAAGATGGCTGGGGACAGAGGAAATTCCGAGGGTCGAAGAAATCGGATTCGTTGTCTGTACAAATCCCAGCGAAGCCATTTATCAGGAGAGACGGGTCCGACTAACATCTGCAATATGCCGCTTCAGTCCCAGGTACAGTTCAGTATCGCTTGCAAATAGGCCCACATATGATATTGGCCGCATGGTCGAACCATCAGCAAGACGCTCGAGTTGCACTTCGGGCACGAGCACTCGCAGTAACGGTACGAGGCTGTGCATCTCTTCCCAAAGGAAATCAAGTGCCGGGGAGCAAAACGAGCGACATGTTAGTGCAAGCGAAGCTAGGTCCCTTCTCATGGCCTTGGAATGTTGTCCGCTCGGATCAGCAGTTTCATACAGATGGTGGCGTACTATCCAACAGATCTCGTAGAGTAGCTCTGCAGGAAGTAAAGACGTCACGTCGTTTCGCAACGGGATTTCCCCAGGGGCAGAGCCGGAATGACCTGCAGTCGGGGCTGAGGTGAAACATGAATCTGCAGAAGCCATGGGTGTTGCAACAAACTTCAATTGTTAGAGCATCTGGGTTGCAGGGCGCGCAAGATGTTATCCTAGTCGACGATGGTTGTTTGCATCTCTGTGAATGACGGAAGTGCTCTTTACCAAGACGCCGAATAATTCCGACGACGACTGTGGGAAAAATATCGCCATTCCGCCGCCCCGTCTGCCAGTGGCATCTGCGATCTGAGCCGTCATGTTGACTCAGGCACTTCCAGGGGTTTAAGTACAGGAAAGGGCAACAATATCGCTGACACTCGCCTGACGAAGAAACATTAGATCCCCACGACGGGCTCGAAATATACGACCAGCGCCGACGGTATACTCTGGGATAGTCAAGGGATAGTAATTGCCGCAAGTTCTACATACTGTCATGAACTCGCGATCGTAGCCGGCCTTGAAACCCAAGGCTACTTTCCCTAACTACTCAATATCCAAGAATCCCCATGATGGCTATGTTTGACATCGGTACGACTAACGGCATGGTTGTGCGCCAGACAGACCTTATGCATCAATCGAGTGGCGACGGCGCATCTACTAGACGATGTCTCATGTCGGTGTGGGCGCGCGTGGGCAGCTATATGCCTCTGTCGACGTTTGTGAATGGGACGCCTGGCCTACTCAGTGCTGTACGTTTGGCGACCCCGTTGTTGAGAATTGCGGTGTGTGGCGCACACCCATGCCTCGTCAAAAGTTTCAGGGCCCACCTCGAATCAAGACCACTTACCTTATGGCTAGGTGTGAGAAGATTACACATACCAGTCTTCAAGGCATATAAAAAGGCAAGGTCGGGTCCCGAGTCGAGCAGCGACCTCTTCGACCTTCGTCCGCTCACTTGTGTACTCAATTGACCTCCGGTGCAGGCCAGTACGTGAATCTATATCGAATTCTTGAAACCTTGCTGACCGGGTTCATCTAGCCTTTTACGACACCCTTTCGCGACATTTACTGACCAGGTACTTCGTGTTGAGCACCATTAAAGCTACAGTGGGTGTAGCAGTAGATCTTACCGGTCCTCCCTTGACTGAGAACTCGTGCAGAAATATTCCAGTCCATAATGCGCTTCTCTGCACTTATCGCACTCGCACTTCTCGCGTCACCTGCTCTCGGCGCGCCTATTGGGAGCTCAAAAAAGCCCAGGCCAGTCCCAGCCAAGCCCGCTCCTAAGCCCGCCGCTCCTGCTCCGGGCCCTGCGAAGCCAGCGGCGACCAAACCGAAGCCTACGCCCGAATCTGAGCCTGATGCGGAGGGTTGGTCCTCATTCACCGCTTTCCGCATCGCGTCATTTTGACTATCACTGTGCCAATAGGAAGTGGTAATGGAGGCATCAGCGGCATTCTCCCTGGATTCGCAACAGCTGGTACAGATATCATACCAGTCATTGTAGGAGGCTACCAAGATAGACAGGCATTGTCGGCATCGATATCAGCGCAAGCGGCCTTGCAAAGTGCGTCGCTCTCGGCACAGGCTGCAGAGGCCACTGCCACTCTGACGCCTGCAGCTGCGCCCAGTGCTCCAACGTAGGTTCTCAACGATTCATCATGTACTGTGTACTAATCGATCTTCCGCATCGGAAGTCGTCGGATGGTTCGCCGTACTGCCAAGTCGCGCTTGAGTGGGAAGGAAAGCAGTGGCAGCAAGCCTGCTGGGAAGAAGCCCAGTATCAGTATCAATCGTACGTTCAGTTCCCTTCCCAACCTGACACGACTACCTTATGATGTGATTCTTTAAGCGGCTATTGGAAACCCTGTGCTCGACGGGACAGGGAAAGTCCTTGCAAGCGTTATCGCCGGAACAAACGAGAGGAGCCTCATCATTGAAGGCGCTAGCGCACAGTTGTCCTTGCTTAGCGCTTCCGTGGCGACGACTGCCCAGGCGTCTGCTAGCGCTCCTGCCTCCGTGACCACTGCCCTCACTAGTGCCTAGCAGCTTCCCTGCATTAGGCGCTGAGGCTGAAGCAAACACCTTCTTCGATTATCATATTGCAGACATGCGTTCCGTAGTGCGATCTTGTGTCCCCTCCCCGAGTGCCTGCGGGTAGCTCAAGTCTAAGGCTATTAATAAGAGTCTACTGAGTACCTACCACATTACTACGTGAGTCTCTAAGACGTATGTATGCATCCCATATCTACCGTGCAATGGTCTGTTCTGGTGTTCAGAGATCCGTGCAATGGTTAAAGTGAGTCGGCCTATCTACGTCAGTGCCAGATAACATAACAGGATGATGGGCTTCGCGCGACGCCACAACTGAGACTGGAGGTTCCACCTCTTCTTTATTCTCGAAGCGACAAAAGCGATACAATGTCACGAACGCTTCAACCCTACCAAAATGAACTTATCGCGAAATCAATGTCCGTGGGGGCATTGAAGTTCGGTTCCTTCACCCTCAAGTCAGGCCGGTCAGTCTCCCGTAGCGAGCACTCAGCATCGTGAAAGCCAACGTTATTCTCGCCAGCACTTCTCCGTACTTCTTCAATGCTGGACTTCTTTCAACTGGGCCGCTGTTGTACACCCTTGCGTCGGCATATGCATCGACGATCTCGAATTCTCTGTCTTCGTCGACGTCTCCTTTGCCGAAGTTTGACGTCCTCTTTGGACCCGCCTACAAGGGCATCTCTCTTGCCGCTTGCACGGCTCTTCTGCTGCACAAGGAGCACAACCTTGACGTCGGGTTCGCTTATGATCGGAAGGAAGTAAAGGATCATGGCGAGGGCGGGTCTATGGTCGGTGTATCCGTTGAAGGAAAGAAAGTGTTGATCCTAGACGATGTTATGACCGCTGGGACTGCTATACGAGGTGCTATTGATCTGATCACTAAACACGGTGGAGAGGTGATCGGCGTCGTCTTGATCCTCGACCGCGAAGAAGTTGGAAAGGAAGGTCGGAGTACCGTGAAGGAGGTGGAGGATATTGTCGGAGGGCCAGGGCGAGTAACTGCTATCCTCAAAATGAGGGACCTGATGTTGTGGCTCGAAAAGTCAGGGCAAAATGAGAGCTTGGGGAGTATGAGAGAATACTGGGAAAAGTACGGTATCAAAGAATAAATATCATAGCTATTGTAAGTGCTTCACGCCCATGCCATATCTGCTCACGTCTCATTTTTGCTCACTGAGGTATACACTCTGTTGTATCCTCCGTATCGTACACAATGCACAAGATAACATTTTCCTCGCCCATGTTGCCTTGGTATGCCACAGTAGCTCTGCGTTACCTACTTTACACCCGCCTCTGCACGTTACAAGGTCACCAATGTTTTAGAACGAAGCTATCGGTTTGTCGCTCATCCCCAGCGTTCGCCGAGTAATTTTGGCGTCTCGATCATTCTTGTATACTGTACACGGACATCCAATTCCATCGACAAGCTGGTGGTCTGTCGAAATCCTGCATGGTCAAGCGGCGAAAGGTCGGCCTTCTGGCCCGTAATGTTGAGGGAGCGCCGCTCTACCTGCAGTACCTGGCACGTCCCAGTTCTTTTGGAAGGAAAATCTCGACACTTGAGGTCGGTCACCTCCCGACGCTACCCCGTACTATACAGCCGCGACGTAAGATGTCCCAACGGACAGGTCACCGGAAAGAATGGAGATGTCCTCGCGGGGTGAATTGGGTAGTACATCGTCGATTCTAGGCCCATCATTCCATGTCAAACGTCCAATAGGTAATTGCTGCGAGGTGAATTCGTAAGTTCTATGTGTTCTTAGGGTCGATTGTCAAAGGGTCGGTCTTCACGTTATGTCGAGCGTAGCGTTTTGACTGCCCTTCTGGCTGCTCGACTTCCGATTTGCCTTCCAGCATCCGCCGACCGCGGCCGACATCCACTTCCGATGCATCATTTGTCTAGAAACTGAATTGATCCAATCGTTTCTCCAGGGTGGTGGAGAACGCAAGGGCCTGTTTGTCGTTTTCCAGGCATGATTGTGATTTTCCAGTTCTCTTATTTCCTTAATCTTCCTCCCTGCACCTCCAGGTAGTCAACACTCGTCACCGGACTCCACCACCGGGTTGTGTCAGATGCGGTACGACTGACTTGAGCGACGTAAGCACATCTCCCGTATTCAGTTCGTATTTCACAAACCCCAAATTGCACGAGCTGGGTAAGCACCTCCAAAAGTATAAAAGCAGGCCTTCCCAACCACTGTCTGCCATCCGAACTCACTCACAACAAGCATCTCAAGAACTTACATTCAGAATGTCCAACCCTACCACCGCCGTTGTTCAGACTCAGCTGGTTGGAGGCACCGACGGCGATATCTTCCACGATGGTTCTGCCCGTAAGTGCACCGTATCAAATCTGCCGGTTGCCTCACCCTAAAAGCCTCCTGTTTCACAGTCGGTGGTTGGCCCGCCATGCAAAAAATCGACATGGCGCACCCCATTCGGCAAATTGATATATTCTCCGGATGGATCGTAAGTGTGCTGGAGTGTACCCCAATAGCTGTTTGTTCAGCGAGTCATTGCTAGGTCGACGGTGTTACCGTCACTTATCAGCTTCAAGGAGGAAGTACTGCTAAGGGTGCCCACGGGACGTCCAGCACCAGGTCCACCGTGAAATTGTCGGGTACGCCTCCGAAATCCGAATATTCTATTCAGATATCAGCGCTCACACTATGCTACAGACAAGGAGACACTGTTGGCTGTTGTCGGCCGCGCAGGCAACCACAGCTACTACAAGCGATCCGTCGTTCACCAGCTCACTTTCGTCATCTTGGATACTTCCAACGGCAAGGTCCGACAGGAAGGAGTAAGCTAAGCCTAGCTCAATTGATTATGTTATGTGCATTGATTGACGAGTGCGTAGCCTTTCGGTAATGAGGATGCGTCTAACCAAGGAGAGGTCTTCCACGTCTCCGGGCCGATTGCTCTGGCTGGCTATGCTAAGAATGGCACTGATCCCTGTGAGTGTCCATCGCTACCAGCGAGAACGGTATGACTAATGTCTTCGGGATAGTGGGCCTGTCTGGATTGTCATTCATCAAGGCCTCCACCTTTGAGTGAGCTGTTGGCTTGAAGTCGAGCGAGCCATGTACTTTGTACGAATAAAGCAATGTAAATGTTGCGTTGTCATTGAATGGCGTTTTGCATCGACAAGGTGTTGGACCCTGCCAGTGCTTGGCAGACATCCCGAAGATCATAGCCGTCTGTGCCCTAAGCGGACGCCATAACTGCAGCCTGCATACACGCGAGAGTCATGTATTGTGGCCATAGATACGGCGGCTGAAGTCATGCATGCTAGTTCGCATCCGATTCCGGCATCCTCGTGTGGTCTGCGACAGTCTTTGACTCGGCGTACACAGATAAAGAATCAAGAGGAAAACTACATGACAAGACTGGGACTTGGGGCAGTAAGATACTACACTCTCGTGTATTCGCATCAATGCACTCATGGTATGGCTTTCCTGTTATGCTCCAGGCAAATTGGACGAGCGCGGCTACTACCAACATAATCCGAAGGTCACTTGTTGCGTGGTTCTTCCGTCACGAGTCACGACTAGATTGTATGCACGTATCTGAGCTTGGAACTAACTTGGAATGCATCCTCTTGTCTGTAGCACGATTGCGGAATGCCTGAAGCCTCCTTTTCTGGGATGAAATTTGGATGAGATATGCAAGGCTCAGGTTCCACCTGCAGGCTACTATGCTTCAGAGAGGCACTGCACACCGTGCTCTTACTAGGACGCCGTCATCAGCAAAACGTGCCTCTCCCTCACGAGTAGTAAGTACAGCATATTATGTCGCTGTCTGCTTCGCAATGCCAACCTCCCGTTTTACAGTCGGTGGTTGGCCCGCCTTCCTGAGACTGGATACCATCAACCTAACAATGATTCGCTGAGCTACTAGTAACAGCGATCGGCGCACAGTCCAGCACACTTACGACCTATCCCGAGAATACCTCGATTTGCTGATGCGCCAAGTCGATTTTAGCGGTACTCCTAAAGGTACCCACGGCGCTAGGTCCACCGTGAGGTTCTCTGGTACCCAACCGGAATTCTGCAATGTATATTAATAGTCACAGAGGCTTTTGACTGTAATCGACCGCGCAGGAGACACGTACTAAAAGCGATCCTTGATCCACCAGCTCGCGCTGTTCATCTGGGATACCTCCGATGGCAAGGACCGCCAGGCAGGACTAAGCATCGATATCGCGCAATGTGTCATATTGTGCACATCGGTCGATGGGTGTGACGCCCTTCGGGAACGAGGATAACGGCGGACAGCTCTGCCATTTCTCCGACCCGATCTCATTCAACGGCTGTGCGAAAGATGGCCCCGATCCCTGTGAGTTTCGATGTCTACGTATACCAGCTGGAATTGTATGACTCAGGTGTGTCCGGGATGTCATTCACCAAGGTTACACCTTTGAGTGAGCTATTCAAAGCGGATCTCTGAGGCGTGTACCCGGCATGTTTTGCACGAATGCAGCAATACAAAATCGTTGCGCTGTCATCGGGCAGTATTTACATACGCGGGGTGTTGAACCCTGCTTGGCAGATCTCAGCGCTCACAGCAGTGTTTGCCCTAAGCGTACGCCATGATCGCGGCCTCCAGCGACAAGTCTATACTACCTTTCTGCGTCGTCGCCGCAGCCCTTTGACTCGGAATCAAGCTGATTACGTCGCCGAAGTATGCCTATCGGGACACGTTTAGGATGAGCCGCCAAAAAAGCACGGGCAATCAAACTCACATCAGTAACTCCCTGCAAGCCCAGCAAGCAGTTGGCTATGTCTCCAGTGAGTCCCGCCTTCTGGAACGTCGCTTTCTTGTTGATGAGCTAGATATCGGTGTGCGGATGAGCTCCATCCCTGAATTAGTGCTGCGTGCGCGTACTGTCGATACGAATTCCTTTTGACCGCTGACGAACTGTATGGCATGTCAGTCAAAGAGGCGTCTCAGCTGAGATGAGTAGTAAGAACTAACGCCGGTAAGTGCGGTGAGAACCTCCTCAGCCTCTCTACCCTTGAAGGGCTTTGGGTCCACCTATTTTCACGGTCTAGCGGGGATACAGAAGTGCAGATGATTTGATTTGCTTACCACGTCGACCTGACCGATGGCATCGGATAAATTGCTGATGATACTCTGCATGCTAACGGCTATTATCTATCAAGTAGGTGAGTTTTTACTAACAGCACTCCAGCTCCCTGCCAGGCGACTTACCGGCCCTTCTCTGGCGACATTGGCGTCTGACATGCTTGAGAGAGTTCCCCTCACGCTCGTGGTCGCTTTGGACACAGCTTGTAGACTCAACACCACAGCTTCTGACGATTGGGCGAATACGCCTGCTAACGAAGACAAGGCAGCCAAGGTGAGTGGAATGAGCGAGAAGGCCTTCATGTTGACTACTAGGCAATGGATAGTGACAAATAGTGGCGGAGGTGAGGACGACGGCATTTTGGCCAGCCAGCTTTATAAGACCTTCGCATGGTTGCAGCAAGGCCGCTACAGATTCCCAGTAAGCTGGAAACAGCATGTGAAGCCTGAGCGAACAGTTACTTCACCCATTCATACGAGCACTACTGCCTGACAGATACGTGCAACGGTCATGTAATGCGGGCATAGATGCAGCTAACTTCGTATCCCCGGGTGCCCGTGGACCATGGTCTGCAAGAGTCAAACTTCAGAGCAATCGGACAAACAATCGACAGACGAAACAGAAAAACATAAAGGCGGGGTCGATCCTGTAGTCTATAGACAATACGCTGTCTCGGGTATTCGTATCAATGCATGCGCACGCACGATGTAGCCGCCCGGTTGTGGCAAATTAGAGTCCAACAAGCGGGCCGCGTCCACCGGCATAATCCGAGGCCACGTCTTGCGCGCTTCCCCCTCGAATCCTCGAGAATCACATACCCGACAATGCATACGCGTTGCTGTTGTGTCTGAGCCTATAACCAAATCAGAAGCCAAATATCGTCTCTGGCACAACTCTTCATCGGACGCGAAATGGCTCAAGCATCTTTCTGGGATGAGATACGCAAGATTCCTCCAGTGACACGCTTCCTCTGCGGCTCGACGCTGGCCGTCTCTCTGCCAGTTATGCTTCAGATAGTGTCGCCATACACTGTCATCTTTGTCAAGCCGCTGGTCATGAAGCGTTTGCAGGTAGGCCTTCGCCGCAAGCACGAATAATGTGTATGCCTGACGTCCTAGATCAGGTATGGCGTGTCTTCACGAGTTTCTTCCTTGGGAGTAAGTGTTACTGAACATAACACCTGGATGTGTATTGTGGAGGCGAGACAGTCTCTGCGGTTGGCATACGCTGTCCTGCCGCTATCTACTCCCCACCATCATGATCCATGCTGATATTCAATTTCCTGTCAGGTTCGGGGATCAACTTCATCTTTGACCTCGCAATGCTTTAGTATGTGATTCCTCTCTGTCGCTCGGGATACGATGTAACTGTACATCGTAGCCGGAATTCTGATGCGCTAGAATCCACTCATTTCCCCGGACGCTCTGCGGATTACGCCTGGCAATTACTGCTGACAGCCTGTGGCATTCTGGTGCGTGGTCTAGCTGCTATCGAGAGTTCGACTAACTCCGGTCCCAAAGGCGCTCAACATCCCTCTCGGCTCTTTCGTCCACACCCGCCCTCTCCTGCTCGCCCTCACCTACCTCGGCTCAGCGCTGGCACCCCCGGGCGCCCAGACGTCCTTCTTCGGACTGATCACCTTCCCGATTCAATATCTCCCATACGCCCTAGCGGCCCTCGACCTCATCATGGGAGGCCCCGCCGCAGCCGCGCAGAGTGTCACAGGTCTGGTTGCGGGGCACGCTTGGTGGTACCTCATTTTCGGAGGCGGGGCTGGTCCCAGCACGAGGAGTCTTGGGAGCGCGCCGGGATGGTTGAAGAAGCTGTTGGGTCAGAGGGATGGAGTTGCTACGCGCTTGGCCGGTACGACGGGGGGTGGGGTGCACGTCATACCGCCTAGAACGAGGCAACCGGTCCAGGAGACGGGTGGGCATAGGTGGGGTGCCGGCCATAGGCTCGGAGAGTGATGAAGTTGTACGCAAATATCTCTTGTATTTACTGCTATCCTTGCGTCGTTATGATAAGCATGATCCTGACGCGACGTGCTAATGTCCTTCCAATCGGTGGACGTAATGAGACCGGCGACAACTGACGCCGTCATGTTACAGGTATTGTCACCTCTGTCCCTTCCTCTTTCTTATCCTCTGGTGTAGAGGCATGTCTATCAATGCTGGGGACCAATATCAGTCTCAAGGAAACGCCAATATCAATTCTGGACCTACTCGAGTTCGTCCGTATCATCCGTATGGTTGTTCACGCGCATGTGAATCATAGGTAAGGTGAATATTAGGCCAGCCACCAGTAAGGCCCATGTTGACGCGAAAATATTCATGTACCTTGATGGCGGGATGTCACGCTAGGAAGTGCGTGAAGCTCAGTGAGAGACCCACGGGAGTTTGACGGCGTCTGCGGCGAAAGCGCCTGCACAGCCGGCTGCTTGGATCGATTTGTCTGGAAGGACAGTGAGCCCGAAGCAAGCCGGGGAGCATGCAGATACCCACAGAAACCCGTGAAATACGCGAGCTTTGCGGGGTCGTTCGACATGGTGCCCAGTATCCAGTACGTCGTCGTTTGCCAGACGGAGTCCAATACGCCGCAGAGAGTGTACAGGAGGATGCGTCCCGTATATCCGTGGTCGTAAACATCCATGCGATTTGTGGTAAGCGCGATGGATTCCCGAGTGTAACCCCTGATGATGTCCGTCAACGTCGATGCCCCCGTAAGAACTGTTGCTCTGTTACCGTTGGTAGACATATGCCCAGCCGTGAACGAAGAACACGAGGAAAAGCAGTATGGTCCAGCCTATGAACGCTCGATGTCTGCGGGTTAACCGCGTGCAATCCAGTATCAATCCTACGATAAGAGAGCCGAAGATTTGAGCGAGCCAGTACACAAGATTGTTGAGTGAACGCGCTCGGATGTTGAACAGTGTCCCGTTGTAATCGTTGAATTCTGAATAGGTTCGGTAAGTCGAAACGACGAGACAGAAGGGTGTACGAGAGACTGACGCCAAGTATAGTACCAGATACTGGCAAAGAACATCGGGAAGAGCATGATAACGAGAGGATCAGTCTTGAGGGCAATCCATAAGCCACGGAATTCAGACTTCCATGTCGGCTGGCGGGGCGTCTTCACTCTGCTGCCGTCAGTGCGGATCATCTTGTTTGGGTCGGCCAGGAACAACGGAAGGCAGACGCCCAAGATGTTGATGACGAGCAAGCCAATCTGCCGAAGTACTCATAAGAAATCCCGGAAGAAAAGCTCAGAAGAGAGGGTACATACATAGGTGCCATTGCCGACTATGGGCGTTGTTAGATTCTCAAAGTATGTCGAGGTTCGTTTCATGGACGTCGAAGCGGCACTCACCAGAATTAGACTGTTTTAAACCACAGGAGTCATGAGAATCGGAGGAAGAGGAAGAGTGGACATCGTGTGTACCTCAGAATTGAAGTTCTGTCCAAGAGACACACATGCGCCTACGACACCCCCCATGTTGAATATCGACCAGAAGACGCCGATAAACATTCCTTTCTGGGACTCAGTGGGATACGCTAACATGAAACAACCTTCGGCGGTCCAAAGCAAAGCCGCACAAAGCCCCTCGTAGGCTCCGGCGGCTATCACGAAACCGCCCACATTTGGATGAATGTTCATCGCGCTATGTCATACGTATCCAGCCTACCGACGATAAATAGCAGGATGTGGGAATGCACGTACAGGTAGGAACCCAGGCCGAGGGCATAACCCGTGGTACCAAGGAATAGAGTAAGTCTTGGCCCGAGGACATTGTTGACAGACCTGTCACACTTCAGTGAGTACGATATGAGGAAGGGGGACATTCCAGCGTACCCAGCGAAGAACGCGAAGAACGCGTACGAAGCATAGAGCGCCGCATTTGCGTCGTCGTTAATCGCGGGGTCTATCCTTCCTGCGCCTCCGAGACCAAGGAGGGCATTGTACAGGCCGGGGCACGTGAAGCAGACAATTCCTACCATAGAAATCTGCGTGTAGGGATTGTAATAGAAGCCTTTGATCCCAGAAGGATACTCATAGCGCTCGATTTCCTTGTCAGCTCCATCGTCTTTGGCGCTTTCTGAACCAGTGCTCAAAGGGAGTAGCATGACGGGGGTCAAAGGGAAAGTATCTGGACCCACGTACTCCAAGCATTTGTAGCCCTCTGATACCACTATTTTCGTGCGATAAGCAATGAAGAAATCAGTCGACCAGCCAAGGAGAACGAGCAGATAGCATCGGCAGGCCCCTATGTATTGCGTCCGGCTACGTCGTGACTCGGGGTAGGGTTTGTGCTCCACAAGATGTCCAAGGATTCGTTGCACTTGAGTGAGGCATTCGCATACGTAGACAACATGAGATACTTCCCTTCATCCGAATATCCCGAGTGAATATCAGGACTCAGATACGTGAAGGGTCAACCCCAGTAAGACAGGCGCCCCTACGTCCACTGATACTCCCAGACGTTGCCCCGTTCAGGGTCCAAGAGATAAGCATATACTTGACTGACACTCTTGAGGATATGTATAGGCCAGGCATCAGGCTTCGCAACGGGACAGGATTCTTCGAAGAGACAGGTCGTAAGACCGTTCCCTTATAATTAAGTTGCCCACGGACTGGATACTTGATAAATTTAGGCCACAACAGCCACAGTCATACCGGCCCGGTAAGGTCTCACGTAAGCACGACGGAGCTAGTTGAGCGAGCGTAGATGATGGGACACAACGAATAGTTTGAGCTTAAAGGACAAGAATATAGTTGTTGTCAGCACAAGGCCAGCTAGAGAGTGTGCATACTCACATACGACCTCCTAGAAGGCTCCACCGTATCGAGCTGCGAACGAGAGATCATAAAGCAGACGCACCCTGCCTCAATATCGCTACTGACTCGGCCCGATATCAGTCCTTTTCTTAGCCAGAACGGTTCCAGAAATGCGGGCGATCAGCCACTCTGGAACAAGGAGAAACACCCAGCTCAGTAGTTCATGAACCCAGTATGGGATCACATGGCCTTTGTAACTGCCAACTGCGCTGATAATCGCTTCGGCCATGCGATCAGGGGATGGTGTAGCGAGATTCTCCGGAGCACCATTGGATTTTGTCGCGGAGAAGTACACTTCATGGTATTGCACTTCGACTTCTTTGTGGCCTATGACACGCATCTCGCGCCGCAAGGATTCAGAGAAAGTCTGGGCTAATGTATGAGGAAACACCAGGCCAGAAACCAGAGAGCGTTCAATCGTACCTGGACGAAGCCCTTGGTACCTGTGTAGAGCGCGATGAAAGGCGGAGGGTGAGTTGCAGCGTAACTTCCGAGATAGATTATCAAGGACGGCTTGTGCTGTACCAAGAGCGGCAGGAGGGCTCGTGTGAGCTGCGCAGTCCAAGTAACACCTGTGTCGATCCCTCGCTGTATCTCTGTGAAGACGAGGTAAATTATCCCGCAGATACAACCTGTGAGTGATTGAGGCACCTGCGGGATCAATGGTGAGCAGAGGCTGAACGGGTCCGGTAGTGTATCCGACATTGTTTATCAGGACTGTGAGAGGCTTATTTGAAACTGTTTCGACGACGTTTTGTACAAGTGCCGGCTGAGTAGCGTCGGCTTCGACGAATTCGAACTTCCCCTTTGGTGCGAGCACGAGTAACTCGTCACAGCATGAGGAGAGCTTTGCTGGATCTCGTCCGTGCAAAATTATGTTGAAGCCTCTTCTAGCAAGAACTTTGCAAAGTCTAAGGAGTGTTGGCTTAGCAGTGCGATGTGATTCGCAGGAGACCTACTAGACCTACGATTTCCCGATTCCATCTGAAGCTCCGGTGACAAGAGCCCAGGGTTCGTCTGTATCACGAAACTACATCAAAAGGACAAGGTGAGCCGGGGTTCGGAAACTGCGTAAATTCGAGAGTAGTACTCGATCCATCACATTGGCTCGGGAGACGATTCGCCAAAACATGACTTGAACACCAGGCCAAACGACTGGACACGGATTCAAAGATGTCTTCAATACAACCCTAGCTCAGCTGAACGAAGGTTGTGTGAATGAGTGCTGCGTGATCCCATGGGAATCCAGCTATTTATACGCTTGCTTTAAGAACTTTGAACATGAACTCAACAGCTATAGACCGCAGAAGTTCAATATCTAGTGCGTTGTATTGCGTGTTATCCAGCCGAAACAGCTGGTGGTGGAATCGAAGTTTCTCCTATGCAGCATAATATGCATATATAGGTGGTATCCGCAGCTGTGGCGTGGCTGCGCGGACTCCTAGGCTAGTGAACATTTCCGATACGCGCCAGTGAAGTCCCCCCTTGCGCCCGTTTAGGCAGCGTCCCCCGCTTTATTTAGTACTGAAGGCACCGTGGCAATGGTAAGCCATGTGCGCTTTCCTTGACACGCCGCTCACCTCCTGCTTTCTGTCTCTTTATGCCCGTCCCACGATAGGCTACCTATTGGTGACTATTCTATGCTTTTACTGGACTTAATCTCTGGCAAATAATTCGCCTGATCGAGCACTTTACGTTGAGAGTTTGTTGAGAGTCGCGCATACACATGCCAAAGTGCGGCAAGGGGCTTCCAGTCCTTCGGTCGCGCACCTGCCGTTTTGGGGAGAAGAGGCTGCCTTTTCTGGCAGACGCGTGAGCTTCAGGGGGACTTCTGCGCTCGATAATGATAGAGTTGCAATAAAATAAAATAAAAAGAAAAAGAAAAAAGAAAAATTGGGATTGGCTCAGAGAGCCATGTGGCAGTTGTGGCTTTGAGGCCCTTGGGACCGAAATCTGCGTTACTCTCGGGCCTATGCTCCACAAATCGCCCTCAGAGCCCCGAAGTAGGAACAAAGCAGCTAGTGAGTGACTGATTGCATGTTTTACCGTAAAATCCGAGTGTAAATACTACTAAAATCGAATTTGTCCGGCCCCTCCGGGGCCATACTAATACTCAACCCGTCCATCGTTCTCTGAGATATATCTCCTATAAAATGGCA